GTTTGGTTTGGTTTGTTTGTTTGTTTGTTTAAGTTTGATGCTTTTTCTAGGCAGCTTCATAAAAAGCTGCACTCCGTTTGGTAGCAAAATGGCTCCCCTAGTTCTTCGAGACACTAAAGCTAAAGGGAAATTGTGACTTCTCTGGAATTAAGTCTTAGTTATCATCAGTTCTGTTAAAAAGCCTGTATCAAAGCAAGAATCTTCTTCCACTCCATTGAGAGGATTTGTTTTGGTGATTGTTATTGCATAGCTATAAAACAGGCACATGTGAATAGTTAGTATGTATTAATAAACAATGATTCTCAAATATTTGCTGGAGATGAATAAAAAGGGTTCTGAGCTATCAAAACTCTACAGGGATACTTTCTTATAGAGGAAGAGAGAGAGACAAGCAGCATTAAAGAAGCCACTGGGGAGTTAAATCAACTAAGCTGATACTGTTTAAGCTGACATTAAAAAGTTGCACATGTGTAAATGACTTAGTCAAATCATGCCTCTAGGTAAGTGGATGAAAATAATGCATCAGAGTATATTTGGTGCGTATCTCCAACTAGAGCTTTGTTTGTGCAGGAACTTGATGACAGTTTAAATTGACTAGAAAATTAGTACGTAATCTCTCTATCACATGTCCTTTAAAGCTCCCCCATACCTTCCAGCTGGCAAAGGTAAAGATATGTAAGTTAAAAGGGCCCTAGATGTAGGCCCCCTCCCAGTAGCATATGCACGTCTCTGTTTATTGCCATACTGTCCAGGCCCCGCTGGGGGATGCCTAAAACCTCGTAATCTTTTCCCCAGCCTTTCCCAGTAGCCACAGATCCAGTCATTCTTGCTGATAACAAGTGGATCTCTTAAAGCACTGGCACAGTCTGCACTGGTGCAATTAATATCACATTACAAATTGTGACCAAATCCACAGCTTGGTCTCTCTTAGTTATGCGAGCTCCACAAGTCATAAAAACAGACCCCCATCTCTTTTTCTGGCCCTGGCCAGGTGTGTTTTGTCTTAAAGGTTAATATTTCTGTGTTTGTGTTTGTATAAGATCACTAAGATAAGGAAATCCTGCTGTTGCATAACTGCACCTCTAGTGTTTTTTTTTTTTTTACCCCCTTTTTTCCTGGTCTGCACTGCCGGACCTGTGTTGCTCTTTAGTGGCAGTTCAGAGCAGCTGGATTCCGGGTGGGTGAAGGTGAAGATTCGCCTACGGAGGGTAGAGCAAAGGTGGACGCTGGGTCCTGGCTGCGCGGTGCCTCCGTGCTTGGTGCAGCTGTGCACGTGGGGCTGCACCGGCCACGGCGCTTCTGCGCTTTTGATGGATCCCTCCTTCCTAAGGAGGCACAAACGGGTCACCCGTGTGACCTTCTGTGCAGCGCAGCTCACAAAACGTCACCTCGCCACGGAGTTAAGCGCATTTGGCATGTTCCGATGGCTCTTAGGGTTATCCTGCAGGGTTATCCTGGCAAACTGAGCTGGTTCATGGGGGTTGTGGAGGGGCCCAGGAGAACAGAAATGTGCCAGCCAGTGGACAGTGCTTTTTCCTCCTGCCGCTGACAGCAAAATAAATTAAACATCAGCAAAACCAGAGAAGTGACAGAGAGCTCCTCAGGCTGATGTGTGGCCTCTGTGGAAAGGCAGCACATCCGTCAGAAGTTTTTTTCTCAGGTATTCAATTTACTGAGACATGCTTTATAAATAGGCAGGAACCCCTGTTGACCCAAAGCCATTCAAGTGCCCATACTTACACCAGTGTGGTGAACGGCTGCTTCCAGTTCCAGTGTTTCCTGGGCTTTTGGGGCACACTTAAAGGACCAGGTTCTGACACCGTACCTTTTGCCAGCAAGCTTTGCCTTTTGATTGTTTCCAAACTTGATGCAAGTTAGAGAATTGCATTCAATTTAGGTATTTACATTACACTCTAGCCGGAAGTGGACTGTGCACGGCAGCAGTTCCTGCTATTACAGATCCCTGAAACCCTCTGCTGGCCAAAGAAAAAAAAACTCTCTTTTTTTTTTTTTTTTGTTTTAATATGCTAAGCTGACTGTCCAGACTAAGAATCACAGAATCACAGAATGGTTGAGGTTGGAAGGGACCTCTAGAGATCATCTAGTCCAACCCCCCTGCTCCAGCAGGGACACCTAGAGCACATGGCACAGGGTGGCATCTAGACAGATTTGGAAGATCTCCAGAGAAGAAGACTCCACAACCTCTCCGGGCAGCCTGTTCCAGGGCTCTGTCACCCTCAAAGTAAAAAAGTTCCTCCTCACATGGAGATGGAACTTCCTGTGTTTCAGCTTACACCCGTTATCCCTCGTCCTGTCACCAGCCGCCACGGAAAAGAGCCTGACCCCATCCTCCCTACAATCACCCCTCAGATACTTGAACGTGTTGATCAAATCTCCTCTCAGCCTTCTCTTTTCCAGACTAGACAGACCCAGCTCGCTTAGTCTCTCCTCATAGTATCATTCCTATCTCATATCTCATTCCTATCTCATATCTCATTCCTAAGAATAGCATTTCCCTGCAGATGCTACAATCTCTGTTATTTTCCCTCTGACATTCAACAAGTAAGCTCAGTGAGATAGTAGCTCTTTGGGGTTTTTTTTTTTGCATGTGATGAGCTCAAATGGCAGCCCTTTAAAAATGTGTAAACAGTTTTCTATAATTAAATGCACTGTAAGTTATTCTAATTCATTTCCTACATCTCAAGGAATCACCATAGCACTGCTGCTAATGCTGAAGCAGACCTGGCCAGGCTCTACTGCAACTCAAATTGTTCATTGAGAGTTTTGCATTTTTGGTCATCAGGAGAAGAACGAAGGAAAGGAAGAAGGAACAGTGTCATGCATCTGAAGAAGATGTGTGAGAAGGTGAAGAAGACGGAGTGAGCATATGCACCACTGACCCTCGAGCTCCTTGACAGCAACCTTCAGAATTTTCTAAACATTAGCGGGATATTAGCTATGCAAAGGGCAACAGTGAGGAAAGCTTCTTGTCTTACTGCAGTAGGAACAACCACCTCCACATCCAGATTATAGCTAAATGCCTGCAGGTGGCCCCTTTAGTAATGCTATATTGATGGACATAATGCATACTGGAAATGCTAATTTCATCTGAATAGCATTTATGATGTCCAGCTAAAACAAGAAAAAGATCTATTTTGTGTATTTCTGTTGCTTTTTTTATATTTCAGTCTTTAAAATTTGCATTTATTGATTAACGTTTGTAGAGCATGAGAATAACATAGAGTGTTGGTAGCATCTTTCTTACTCCTTTAACACCCTTTTCCCCCCACTATTGGTCTTTAATTACTGTTACAGATAGATTTGCATATACCAGGAATACAAATCGTAGTTTTACAATGACAAAAGCTCAAGGCATATCTGAAATACTTTTTGTTCATACTGAAGGTTACCATAGGAGAGATGACTGAGAAGTATCCAGGGAGAACATTATTTTCTTCAGGCAGTGCAGCCTAAACTTCTGCATAATTTGGGCGATTGTATGATAATGAAAAATCAATGGCATGTGAAAAAATTGCATCAGAATCTTGGGAACAGATCTTTTGTGGAAGAAAAGCAAAATGGCCACAGGAAAAGGCTGATAGATTACAGGAAATATTTCCCGTTCCTAATGCTCAGAGTTCCATGCGAAAAACAAGAGAGGTATTAGCCATTTTCTTCGTATAGTCTTCATTGAATTTCTCATTCTGTGCCACAGTGAAATAATTCTTCCAGTCCCCAACGACCCCTGCAAAACAGCAAAAGTAAAGCAAAATAATCAATTTGCTGGTATTTTTTGAAGCCCATTAGCCATAACATGCCAGATAATTGCACTTCAGGTAATGGATTATTTCAAAGCAAACTATTAACCAGGAAGGCAGGGTTGATGCCAAATAATAAACCTCAGCACCTTTTCTCATGAATGGGGAAATAGAGTGATCCATTATTCCCACAAAATCTTTGGTGTAGTTTGCCATGGGATTGTCCTTCATTATATCAAACGTGGTGTGGTGGATTATCTGGTTTAATGTCTCCTCTTCCATATCCTTCTCCAGAAACTTCAGTATCTTTTGAATTTCACGCTTTGGATTCTGTGCAGACAACAAAGTGGGATAAGATACAGAGCCAGGAAAAGGAAAGAAACCAAACACAGCGTTCAAGGTACAATTATTGCCAGGGCAAAAAGATCAGATTATTTGAAGACTTACTAATACAGAACACATTATGATTAAGAACTGCTTAGTGTATGTGCTAGCTAATGGCTTTCCTGGTTTCCAGTAGAGCTCTGTAAAGACATGTTCAGCCTTTTACCTCCTTCATATCTTCATAGAAGAGGTAGAGAATACGGTGCTTATCTTTTGCCTTCCACCATCCTTTTACATGGTCATACCAGGACCCCCAGAGCACTGAAAAAAGAAGGATGTTATGAAAAACTGTAAATGCCCAGTTTGTCTTAGTGGTGTCTGGGAATTCTGTTTTCCCCACGACCAGTGTCTGAGCTCTTCTCAATTGGCTTTGAATCACTGTGGCCATGACTCCTGTGCTCTGTGCCGTACAAAGTAGTCATGTTAATTAACCCTCTGGCATGGGATATTCATAGCAGGATTCATGTCTGACTTTAAATGGCCACAAATGCAGATGCTTGGATCAAATGAAACATCTACTGTGTTTACAGCCAATGGAGAGAAACAGACATTTCTAGAGTGTGATTTATCTCATCAGCTGGACAAGACCACTCTTGGTCCTGCTTTGAGTGGGAGCTGGACCAGAAAACCACCAAAGTTTCCTTCCAGCTTTCATTTTTCTATGATTCTGTCTGTTTTAAATATTTAATATGCTATCAGAAGTGCCTGTTTCTTTCTGAGAAGTCACCAATCCTAGTTGGTCAAACAACACCCAAAGCTCCCATAGACATGAGACTGTCAAGATAGTGATGTCTCTAAGTCTACATGGTGACAAAACATTAAGACCTGCAGAAGCTTTATTGACAAAAATTGCAGACTCTCATCCATGTGCATAGGTTTTTCTTTCTTGATATGGGGAATTCCCTTAGGAAAGGAAGAATCAGCTTCTGGGGATGCCTTTCTCTAGCTGGATAACTGTCTTTGTTGTGATGCCTGATTTTTAGACAGATAAATTTAGGTAGAAAGACTTTCCTAACTCGTATGCACACTTCACCATATTAAGTCTTGGTTTCTTGTATATCAGGCTAGAAAAGCCATTTAGTCTCTGTTCTTTCCCCACTGGCTTCCAATAAGGTTTCTTTTATCCTCAAAGAAAAAAAAATGTTGAAATCTGAAAATTGGATGTGATGGTAGAATGAAGAGTAGCACTTTTTTCATAATGGGGCTGTAAAGATAGCATCCATCTTTTAGGCACTAATAAAACCCTCCAAATGAAGATAAATTACTCCTGAAACAGTTTCAGTAGATACCCTTCCATCACTCTGTCAGCACTGGATTTCAAACCTTAGCTGAAATAAATAGATCAAAGTTAGGCATTTTTAAAATAAACAAAATCTCTTGTACAAATCATTGCAAATCATCACCTTTTCCGGCCATGAATTTCTCCAAGAATTCCTCCCAGGATCCTGGCTCAGGCAGTGCTTTATTCATTCTGTGGAAATGGTAGTATGACACCAGGTTGTCTTTGGCATTTCTTGCCACGTAGATTATCTTTATTGGATATAGAAACAAGAGAAGTATGAATATGAGAAATACGAAATTTCACATATCCACATATGGATGGTAAACATCTCCTGGAATTTTCTCTTGGGGCTTCATTGACAAAGGCCTAAGAGTTTTTGCTTAGAAACTGCCATTTTCTGAAATCCAACTAGTGTAATTTAGTCATGACTTCTTTATCTTCGCACGCACATTAAAGAGAATATTGCTGGGGAGAACCGTAGATTTCAAAAGGATTCTGGAAACCATCTGCAGTACTATTTTAGGTCTTCTACTTTTTCCAAGTAAAGTAGAATTAGGTCCTACCTGACAACCTTACCTTACAGTTTTGTTCCCAGAAGGAGGGAGGTAACAGCTGAACAGGGAGATGAGTTTTCAGTGTTCGTGGAGAAGGCATAGCTTCAGCTAATTCCAGGCCTGTGGAATGTTTCATTGTAATGAATTACCATCATCTAAATCTCACTAGGACTTGGATGTGGCTCCTATACCCATATGTGGTTCTCATAAGTGGCCTTTTGCCTGTAATTTATTGGCAATTCACTTTGCAATTCACCTTCACTGATGATAAATTATATGGCTATGTAACCCATATAACATACATGGCATAAGAACCCAGAAGCAACTTCAATGGTTGTGGTGGAATTTTTTCCTAGGGAGGAAAGGGGGAACACTAATACATATATTCGTTTTGATTCTCTGGGCCTGTGTTTAGCTCATCTGCATCGCATGGGATAATTAGAAACACCAAATTATATATAACCGATCAATCTTTTTCCTTCACCATGTTTGGTGATCTCCATTTTCTTTGCAGGTAAGAGGCTATTGTTTCTTTCTAGAATACTAGAGAATGTGCTGGATGACTTTCTGGATGGCATGTGAAGGAAGACAGCCCAGGAGAGGAATAGATGGAGTTCTAAATATTTGCACAGTATATCTTAAATAGTTTTGGATATAGGCAGATACATGGGAATACATGAGGATATGTAGATATATATTATTTCTTTCTTTTTCCTTTTTTTTTCCTTTTTTTTTTGTTTGTATCAGAGAGACATTCTCTGTATATGTCAACACAGTCTGGCTTAGAAGAGAAAAATTAACATTCCTTCTGCAGTGACAGAGAAACTGCTCAGCTTCACATTTGAAGAGAGTCTGACTTAAAGATTAATGTGCAATGGGAGTCTTGGCTGGAGAAAAACGTCTTGTAGGAAGCTCTCTCTGCAGAACAGTCAGGGTCGCTGAACACCTGGATGCCTGATACCATGTTTAGATGGTTAGACTCTAGAATTTAACTGAAGTTACTAAAAATAGTAGTAAAAGCCCTGCAAATAGCACCCACATTCTGGGAATACATCCAAGACAGCCTTCTGTCCCATATAATATTTAATCTCAGAGTGTTATTCATTATTTTATACATACTTGCTGCTGTATTAGGTACCGTGGAGCATCACACCTGGCTTTCAGATGCCATCCCAGATTAATGTGGTCTCCTACAGGGCCTGTGTCATATCTGCCAGCCTCACCTAGGCTGGGACAGCACTAGATATTTGTAGTAAGGCAACCAAACAAATGCTGACAGCGCACCATATAATGACAGATCTGATCAAATCAGATCTCTCTTAGGAAACATGTGAGCAGTGGACGCTGTCTGAGTAGATAAAACTGTTCCATTTTGTCAAAACCCCAAGCCTATCCGTATGATATTTACCTGAGTAACTCTGAAATGAAGACTTTGGGAGATACCACTCAAGGAAAGGATGCCGCTTGTAAGTACTGGCGCGTCTACACTTCTCGGTATCTCCATTATTTTGAATCATATCCACTATCTCCTGTGTCCATGTGGTACCTGAAAATGTCAGTGTTTATATTTTCCTCCTTGGGAAGAGCTCGGAGTCACTTCTGTTGGAGAAGTGGAAGCTGAAAAGATGGACTCCATATTAAAGAAGGAGGGGACAACACAGAAGAGGATGGACAAAGTGGAAAGAGATAATAGTGGAGAGGAAATGAAAAATGCGTTATTAGAAATAGAATGAAATAATGACTTGGAAATGGTTTATTTCCAAAGAAAAGTTTCAGGGATTCCAGCTTGCGACAGCTTTCTTTATGCTCATAGAAATGCTCTCATGTCCACCCCAATCTTGAAAAAAGCTTAGGTTATATTATTTGCAAGGAAAAGGTTTTTCCCTCCTCCTTATTCCATAACTCTCAAAAATTCAGCTATTTCAATGTTTGTTTTTATCCTGAGTTTGAATGAAAAGTTGAAATATCTCACCTTTGAGTGGATTTAAATTTATCAACAGTTTGGGAATACAAGAGGGTTGCAGTATTTCTAATACGGAATGCCTTAACGAAGGTTGTTCTAGCCTTAAACTTCATCTGCCTGAGCTATTGCAGCATCCTGTAAGAGTTATAGAGTTGTATCTCTCATGCCTCTCTTTCCTCACAGGCTTTCACACTTTCCCTGAGGTACCATACCAGGTCAACCAGAGGAAAGGCTAGAGGATAATGTGGGAAACAATATGGGCATGAAACTGTGCCCTTAACAAGATGCTTGAACTATACAGCTTTGGCAGAGGCAATGTATTGTTAAATTGACTCATAGCTGTTTATTTCCTTTCAGTTCAATGCTGAAGTATTTTAATCCTAGCTGATCAAAATAACATCTTTTGGTTTATTACACCTGAAATAAATTAAAGTCTTTACCTAAAAAACATCTCCTGTGAAATAATCAATTTGTGTAGCAATCATTTTTTTGCATGGAAAAAAAAAATCTTGTTAACTGCAGACACTAATTTATTATGTTTATCAAATATTTCTGTTTTTTTTTCTGATTCCCCTAAATTATTCATACTTTTGTTCATCCAGAATTAATATTGGATAGTTGTTATTTTTTTTTCTTTATAATAAGTATAGTGGGGTGGTCAAGAAGAGAAATGGTAATACAAGACTTAAGTGGCCAGTCTCTAGTTAATGCAAGTATGATTTAGCTAGATTAATGGTGGGTAGTTTACTGGCTGCCATTAAGTGAGTTAATTTGGTGATAACTTATTTATAAATAAGGCATTTCCAGAAAAAGTACTGATTTATACCAAGCCATTAAGCAAATCATAGTCAAATTAATAGTTCAGCCAGTTTCTATTATTACTTAGTGAACTGATTTTAACTAGGTATTGTTAAATCATTACTTATTGATTGAAAATAATACAGCTGTACATAATCTAAATGAAAGAAAACAACAAGTTTATGTAATCAGACTTTGACCTTTTGAACTTCAACAGCAATGGATTATTATTATTTTCCTTAAAATAATCAAAAATTACAGCCACAGCTGTATTGGAGCTTCACCTCTTTAAATTGTAACTCTGCTTTGGAATTGAGCAAATATCAGTCACAATAGAAAACCTTAATTTTCAATATCAGCATTTAGGAATATGCCAAATATTTATTTTAAATCTCCTATGCACACAAACCTGCTTTTGCATAGGTTGCAATGAGCAGATCATCAGGTCTGGCTTTGAAGTTCCAAACTTGATCCCATACGCTGCATATCGTTTTTATTACAGTAACACCTTCCACTTCATCTGTTTCAGCTCTTGTCATTGGCTCTTGCAGACTCAGATCTTCCATTGTATCCAAGGCCATTGCATACTGCTTGACGAAGGAAAGGAAAGGATTGGAAATGAACGTTTGTTCTGAAAAGAAATCTAAGTTTACTTTCCCATTTTCAGGGTTTCTTTTATTGACTAAAGTTTGTGTCTTCTCATTTATTTGCCTATGATTAGACCTATGTATTTATCTATATAGATTACAGAGTGATCTAATTTTCTGAAATGCTTGAAATACTTGTCATATTTTTGCTGTTGATTCCCAGCAATTCTAAAAATCATTCAATTTTCTCAGTTTCCAAAAGAGAAAAAAAATATTTCCATGTTTGAGCATTTTAGCAAACATATTTATGTAAAATACTGTCTGGAAGTTGGTTGCCCTTGAAAGGCAAGTAGAAGTAGTAGGATTCAAGAGAGGAGAGTATGCCAGCTCCCGCTCAAGTCAGTATAGAGGAACCAACCCAGAAAATAAACTGGAAATTGTCCTGACATGCCTGGGACTTACTTATTTTATCCATCACTAACAACAGAATAATTAGAAATAGCATATCTGCTACAAAATGATACTCACAAAAGTATTTGTAGAGCTCCTCTGTACTTTGTTCCTGGAACTTTTTATTTTCAGAGTTCTTTGTTGTACGTTGAAGTTTGATGCTGATAAATAACGGAACCAGATAGATCATTAAGCAAACATTGTTAGACTTTAATAAGTTAAACGAATCCAGTTAAGACTACTACCTATCATATAGTTTTGTGATAAGTAGTTGTTCATTTCTGTGTTTCTGCCAAATAAAAAGTTGTTAGCCTTAACCTGCAGCGCCCAGAATCTGATCAGAGGAAAGTTCTGCTTAAGCACAGGAGGGTACAGAAATCATCTCAAATGTAAATATCAGTCAGAAAAGGAAAAGGAAACACTTCTTTCTCAAAAGCAAGCATTGGCACGAATATTTCTTTTCATTTTCTTGTTTACTCACACCTGTTTTTGTATAGATTCCCTTGAGCAGATCACGAAGTCTGGTTGGTGACTGGGCACTGGCCCATGAAATGAAAAAACAAAACAAAACAAATCAAAAAAAAAAAACAGGAAAAGAAACTAGGCAGGGATTTCTCTCATGCTTCAATGTCTTCAGTTCTTGGATTCATTGCTCAGTGCACTCACTTTGATCTTTGGGCAGAAGTAGGCTGAAAGTTTGGGTGGAGTTTGTATTCCTCCTATGAACATGAGGAGAGCGGAGGAGGAGATGCAGCACCAGCCAATAGTTTATGAACTTGATTTATTAACTCCTTATTAATCCTGTGAATGAAGACTACTTGAAATTCTCATCTAAAATATGATTCCTTACCTGTAACAACATCATGCCTCTACCAGTACCTTCAGCAAGATTATATTAAACTTGCCTGTATCATTGCCAGTAGACTTGAAATAATTGATTTTTTGCCTAATATTTAATCCAAATTGATAGAATAGTTGCCTTTTATCACCAAAGATCAATGGGGCTGCATTAATTAAAATAAATCCGATTCCATTTTCACCATGTACTGCACACATCCTATATCTCAGAAGGTCTGTTTCATCGCTGGGATTAGCAACTTTTGTTTTATGGCATTGTCTACACTGGTCAACTTCTTAACTAGCATGACATAACAGGGTTTGGGCTCACTGACTGTTGAAGAACCGTTTATTTATAAAGTTTAACTCACTGCCTATCTTTATATGAGATACTGGGAGAAATGCTGATGTGCCCCAGACTAGCTGCAATCAACAAAGTAATGTTGGCGACCAACGTTATAATTTAGCATCTAGTTCCCGGTCCTTGCAGTCATCCTGAAATGTTTGTATGCATTGGAAATGTTCATCCTGGGCAAAAAGTAGCTCACTCAGCTGAACTCGAGCAATCTTGAAATGATTGTGTTCCTAAGGGATTTTTTTTTTGAAAAACTAGCCAACAGGTGTTGCTTCTGTCTTCCACTGAAGGCATGCAAGTGCTGTGAATCCTCAAAGTCCTGTTGGTCATCCTTTGGATGGCCTGGCAGCATTTGTATCTAAAATGGCTTCTTGTCATCTCTATTTTTTAAAGACATTTCACACATCATAACCAAACGAGGGGCCTAGTCAGCACAGATTGTGGGGTCCAAAGAGGGAAAAGGTGTAAAAGTGTGTAGCAAAGTACTGAGCTATGCTTTTGTCTCTATAAATGAATAAGGAGATGAAGAAAGAAGGTCAGCACAGGATACTATATACACAAGAGAAAAGATCAAGCAGAAAAATGTGGAACTGAGAGAGAGAAAGGGAGAAAGAGGGGCTGTGTGACTTTTTTTTTTCATGCAATTAATAGCAGTTAGGAGGTCCCCTTTGAAGCACTGTGAGAGGCAGTGAATTGGTAGCATTCACTGTACAATTTCAGGGAAAGTTTCCAAAAATCAGGAAACAAACTGAAGTGGCCACTTGATTGACTTTAAAGTAGCCAATTGATATTTTTTTTTCTGGCTTTGAGACAAGATGTTTCATGTGAAGGCTGACAATACCAGAACCAACAGTAATCCGGTAAACAGAGAATATAAGGTTAAGGCATCACATTTCTCTTTCTGTTTTCTATACCACTTCGTGGTACGTGTTCGGTATTCTCGGGTTCTGTAATCAGAGGATCAGTCATGTTTCCAGCCTTTGGAACCCCATGCTGATCTACTTTGTCCTTCTCATGCCTGCACCTGGAAGATCACTATCTAGTTTTAGGTACACATCCCTGTTAATTACACAACTGTCCTAATAATGAAGTAATCCCCAAAGTAAACTAGCTGTCCTGTCATGAATGTGTTCGGTATTCTCGGGTTGTGTAATCAGAGGATCAGTCATGTTTCCAGCCTTTGGAACCCCATGCTGATCTACTTTGTCCTTCTCATGCCTGCACCTGGAAGATCACTATCTAGTTTTAGGTACACATCCCTGTTAATTACACAACTGTCCTAATAATGAAGTAATCCCCAAAGTAAACTAGCTGTCCTGTCATGTGCTTCTCCCCTATTGCAGCCGGTAATCTGAGTAGCCTGTGAACAGAGAGCTGTGAGAGAGCAAGGTTCAAAAACTCCACCTACAGCTTTCACACTGCTTCTGAAGTGGGCAGTGGGTGATGGATTTCTCCTGTTGTGAAACAGAGATGTGGGAGGTGAACTAGCTGGCCTATGGTCTAGGTTTCTGGATCAGGATTGTGGTTTCTGGGCGTTGCTTGCAAAGAGCTTTCTCATGCTTCCCCATGTAAAAAGCACTGGTTTTGTTTTAGCCTGGGTAAGTATGCTTAGATCTTTACCTGGGAATGGAAAACTGCAGGGCATTCAGTGGAAAGAGCTGTGAGAAGAGACTATTGGGTGACGTGCAGCATGGAGACAATTAAGTGACTATGAATCAGGAACTGGCCTTACTTGCCCTTGGAAGCACCCTTGCTGTATAGCATTGTGAGTGCAGTTGGCATTAGGATTGGTAGTCTTTGGGCTCCATGAAATCTGTTTGCAATCAGCAAAGGAAGGACAAAGGAAGAATAGGGATTTGTTTGTCTTCTACATTTGTTCTCAACTCCGTTATTTAAATCTGCATGTTATCATTTACCACCTGGTGTCTACAAGGCTTACATCTATTTCCATGTAAAATTGTCTTTCCAGTTTCTAACAGCCACAGAGAGCTGCAGTACTACCTACCATATAACCAGGTTTATCTCATGGCCCTTCAGAGAACTTAGTGGTTAGCTACACTGCCTCCCCCTCTGCTCCTTCCGCAGCTCCAGCCTCCTTTTGGCACAATTTCACTGGAGCTGCTTTGGGGATAATGGCATTTTTTCAGCTATTTACTTCTGTGCTTTTATACAGTGACATAGATTTATTACTGCTTCTTCTAGCTTTGCCTTGATGTGAACTGAAAAATAGGAGTGTACAGCCTGGGGGCTCTTAAATAGCTGTGTGGCTCAGGACCCCATTAATCCATGCTGCTATTATGCATCATTGCTCCCCATGCCCATGCCATGCTCTTCTTGACGTTAATATGACTGCTAATATGATGTTGCTCATGAGAACATCTGAGGGAAGGTAAGCAACGATGAACCCCACCACAGTGGAGCCAAAACTAGCAGTAAGCAGATAAGCAAATACACTTTCATTCTGTTGACCCTCAAGGCTGTGAAGCCGGATTTGTGTTATGTTTTGCTCTTCTTCGGATGGGATCATTAGAGTATCTTCTTATGCTCCTGCTAAATGTATCATTTTTTAAATACTTTCTTGTTAGCTAGAAAAAGAAAAAAGAGATTATTTAAGAAATAAATTATGCTTCCAATTACTATCTGAAACTTTTATTTCCTTAAATTAATTAATAGAACATTATAATTGTAGATAACTTTTTTAATGCTGGATTTAAACCTTTTTACACTTTAGGTTTAATCAAGAATCACAGTAGGACTTTCAAAATGTGTTAAGCAAAGAGTGTTATTCATACCAGATCAGACTTGAGATGAAAGTGATGAGTCTTGCAACAACATCCAGCACTGCAAATAAGGATTTAAGTCTGTTTTTCTTCAAATTTTGTCTATATGAAGGGAACTGTGAAGGGAACTATGTATTAAAAAAATAAAATCTATATTAAAATCTACAGCTGATATATTTGAGCCTTTAAAAGTATTTTTTCCTTGTTATGCTTAGTATTTATGTTACACTAAACTCTCTAAACTCTCTACAACTATAATCTCCCTCTGCTGGGCAAAAGATGCTAACAAAATCATTTTAACTTAGCATTGTATTTTACAGATCTTGAAATCCTTAGATGAGTGCCTGTATTTACCATCCAGAAATATGCATACTGTACAGAAACACAAGAACATGCAGAACGGGCCAAGGTTTCACTTTCAGACTTTCTGAGTTTTAAAGCTGGATGCCCCAGCCTCTTCTTGGCAACTAAGTAAAAAATTTATCAGCCAGCAGGGGCAACCTGAAGCAATGAGAACTGTAGGTATTGTGGGACACAGCTGGAGTTAATCGCAAATATGTCCTGTAATGGACTCTGGCTGTCACAACCTGTCCTTCACTAAGAACGCTTCTGACCATATCTTTAAAAAGGGAACCCTACTACCAATCTTCACAATCTATGTTATGATGGTTAATTAAGGGGTGTTTGGGTTGCAGCCAAATGCTGTAAAGCAAATCATCATAGTTATATTTATATAATAGCAAAATAAATACGACAGAACAGTAAGTGTTAAACATGGGATGTTAAGCCCTAAGGCTTTGGTTCAGGAAAAAAAAAAAAAGCGCATTACTTAAGTACATTTCCTATCAGTGAAGCACTTACATTCCATTACCATCACACTGCAGAAATTTATTTGCTTTAAGTGTCTTCTCTCCTGCAGAGTTTCCTGTTAGAGGAAGTGATGAAGTCCACAGATTGTATAATTCTGACCAAGCTCTGTGCATATGGGGATCACAGTCACATTTCTTACAATCTTGCTATTGTGAGTATGAATAGTCAGGTGGTAAAGTTTAATTGGACTCTGATAGCTTTTTTCAAATATTTTTTTTCCGAGAAAATATGCATATGAAATGCTGCAGTGTCACCCTGTCAGCAGTGTTATATGCTTTTGGCATTGTTTCTGGAAATTACTTTGTAGAAATAAAAGGTCAAGTATTCACCAGCCGGGATAACACATTCCCACTTGCAAATGAGATTCGGTTTAGA